AGAAGTGCAGCTCTCTCATGGTTACCACTCTAGTCACTGTAGCGGATACGATATTCCGATCCTCTCACCTCACCCAAATCCTTTCTTCCTGCTGGGGAAGGGCAGCCCTGTTCGGCCATGAATAAACCCCGACACCAGGCGATTCGAATGCCTATAGGTGACCCAGGCCTGGAACTGGTTCTTTGGACTCCCCTGCTAACATCGGATCAACCTCATCCCACCCATTCCCTCCCTGTGGGTGCTGGCTTTGGAGTGATTTCTCCCTTCACGCCTAGCGGCTCCTCCCAGAAGCCACCCAGATTGCTTTGTGTTTAAGGATGAGCTGATATTTTCCCCATTGGCCTTCCACGGGAACCTAGGAACGTGGGAGCAGCCAGATTAAACCAGGCCCAAGGGTCGCCTGGCCCAGTCTTCGGTGTCTGACAGCAGCAGTCACCAGCTATCTCAGTGTAAGGTACCCTGCAACAGGCAGTCTTGGGATACTCAGCCTCTGGGGGAAATCTTTCCTCCTCACCATCCCTAATGAGAGGTGAGGTTATGCCCTGGGGCATCAAGGCTTCGATCCTTTCCAGCGCCTCTGAATATCATTTAGTTAGCCCTAGAGAGTCCAGTCCTGATTCTTCCGCATTTGGGGTGTAGCAACACCCCAGCATCTTCCCCCTTGACCGTGCATTCTCCTTTCCATAGTCTACACATGGAATTAGGCACAGGCCCCACTGAGATGCTCATGGTGACAACCTCTGGGCATGCCCGGTGGATGCGGGACTTTCCTTCTGTTGGTTCCCCACAGTTTGAGTATCATGCTTGGAAGTTTTTCACCCAAACATTTACCTAGACATTTGGTGATTGGAGATAGTTAACATACAGGGACTGTTACGATAACATTGCATAAAGTGGGGTGGAACAAATAAAAAAGGAGGGGTAGAAAGGGAACATCATAGATTTGAGGCCAATGTGCATCGTTCTAAAAATGTGGCCTGGATTGCACCCAATGTGTGGTACAGAATTGCATGCACACTACTGCAGAGTGCCATCATTTTTGGTGATTGGAGATAGTTAACATACAGGGACTGTTACGATAACATTGCATAAAGTGGGGTGGAACAAATAAAAAAGGAGGGGTAGAAAGGGAACATCATAGATTTGAGGCCAATGTGCATCGTTCTAAAAATGTGGCCTGGATTGCACCCAATGTGTGGTACAGAATTGCATGCACACTACTGCAGAGTGCCATCATTT